TCAGAGGGGATGCTAACAGAGGCAGCAATGTGCTCCTTAAACTCCTTTACATTCATCTGTAAGGAGGAATAATCATACACAGGAATCAGAATAAAGGAAAAAAAGAGAAAAAGCCAACTGATTTGTGGAGTTAAGGGGTAAAAACCAGTATAGAATCACTATCCAACTGTCCTGACTGTAAGATATTAATTGTGCAAAACACTGAACAAAGACAACCCACCAAAATACAGAATTAATTTAACAAACTTTCAGGCATAATACAAACACATATGTTTAAAATTTCTTTTAATAGTTGTAAAAGAACAGAATGACGTTATTTTGTTTATTTTTATGTGGTGCTGAGGATTGAACCCAGTGCCTCATGGATGAGGAACAAAAAAAGCCAACTAATATTCCTTCTCTCCTTTGCCTAGCTTCCAAAGGAAAGTGTATCTAGAGAGATCAGTAACCCCTTCCTAAATACAAAATGATACCAGGAGTTCATTTTTCTGCCGTAATCTCAAAGACAAAAATAACTGCAAACCCAGATGGGGTGGTACACGCCTATAATCCCAGTGACTTGGGAGGTTAAGGCAGAATTGCAAATTCAAGGCCAACATCAGCAATTTAGCAAGGCTATGTCTAAAACAAAAAAGGAAAGGAGGATAGGGTAGGGAATTAGGTTAAGGAAAACTAACCAAGAAGAGGCCCCAAGCCCCAGAGTACCAGGCAGGGGTCCCCCACCATGAAGGTAAGAAGGGAGCAAAGAGCTGGGGGTGTAGCTCAGCACTTGCCCAGCATGTGCAAGATCCTGGGTTCAACCCCCAGCTCTGCAAAAAAGAAGGAAGCCAAAAAGAAAAACATTTGCCCTAACTAGACAAAGTCTTGGAAAGTATTACAAATATCTAGCCACAGAAAAACCTATGTGACTTTCTTAAACACATCTTAAAATATCATTGACCCACCAGCTCATGAGTTTGTCTCCAAGAATTACAGAATTAAAAACAGATAACTATGGTATTAAATTCAAGAGTCATTTTATGCCACAGATGTTAGTAATTCCACTGAATAGTCTACTAGGGCTCCACCTGCATTATGGGTTCTGGTTTCCAGACTTCATAAGTACAGTATACAGCTGCAATCAATCTGTTTATCAGAAAAATTGTTTGAGGTCCCCGCATTGTTTCCTTTCCCCAAAACTGGAGCCCCAACTCTTCCTTTGGGCTAGGGTCCACCCATGATAGCACAGGTTCCTCCTTCGGGTCTATTTTACTTTGCACTGAGTTCTAGCAAGGTGAAGAAAGGCAAAATAAAATCTGCCTCACTTAACAATAAACATACCTCCCCCAACAAACACATCAAAAGATGTTCTATCTAGAATATAAACAAAGGAATCAATGAAAATTTGAAGACAAGAAAATCAGGCTCTCCCATCAGTTCTAAGGGAGGAAGAGGAAGAGCTAATGGGTATCTTCCAGAAGTACTGGGATCTCACCTGGGCCCCCACAATAAAGGTCCGAGTCTGAGAGTCCAAGGTCTTCACTAATACCTCCAAGTTGTCAGGCTCCTCCATAGCGGTACTGGTAGAATCACTGGGCTCCATGGCGGACAGCTCTCTAAGGAAGAACGAAGGGAGGAAGGTCCGCGTCGCCCGTAAGATTTTATATACCGGAAGCCTCCCTGGCCTGAATCTCCGCCCCAATACCTAAAAAGTTTCTCCTACACAAGCACACACACTCACACCCGCCCCCATCCCCCTTCTGATTCCGGGGCACAGGGAGAGAAACACAAAGGGCAGGAGATCGACGGCATAGGGAGCTGAAGGACAGGAGGTGGGAGGGGCTCCACAATGCCAATCACAATAAAGGAGGGCCAGTTGGGCTGAGAATGAGGGAAGGAAGCACGAGACCAGAGACCAGTGTCATCACCGGTCGCGATAGGGCAAAGGCCCTAGAAGTCGGCCAATTCTGGGACAACGCAAGACCGGGGGTGGGGGTGGGGGTGGGGGTGGGGGTAGCGCCCGGCTCGGCGGAGAAAGTGGTTTCGCGCACGCGCGCCACGCCCATCGAACCCGCCGAAATCACTACACACCCAAGACGGCTGACACTTACGGGGGGGGGAGCTGGACCGGCTAGCTGACTGCCCCCCTCTTCCGCCTTCCTCGGTGTTCCAGCAGAGCGGCGCAACCAACACGCGGCCACACACATATACATACACACCCCACCACCCTATGGCTCCGCCCCCGACTTCCCCCGGTACCGTCACTTCCGGTTTCCCCTAGTCTGCTACCGAAAGCCACTTCCGTTTCCCCAATAGTATTTGGGGCTCTCGACGCGGTACTTTCGGCTCCTCCAGGTCCCCAAAGTTTACTTTTATGGGGCACGATGAGGTAGTCCGCGGCCCCAGGTAGTGAGCTCCCGGGGTGGAGATGGGCTGGGGCCGGCCTAGATGGGAAAGAGCCGAACACCCTCAGTAGCCACCGCCGCCGTCGCCCGGAGAACTGTAGTGCGCCTGCGTGAGTCGCACTACGCATGCGTAAACATTTAAGAGCCTCCCTACCCCCTTCACCATGGCTTTTGCACTTTGCCTATGAGCACGCTAGAGACCTAGGAGGTTGAGGTGGCCATTATAAATGCCTGAAGAAAATATATCGACTCCACGCCTTCTTCGAGAGATGCTGTGGATGGTTTTATGAACCTTGGATTTTGGAGATTTGGGATTATGCCTTATCAATATTAAAGTTTTGGCAGGCAGAGAATTTTGAGCGGCACTGACCTAGCCACCTAAAACTCTCATTCTCACTGCGGCCCTCACCTGGCCCTGTGCTCGGCGCCTCCGGAGGTCACTTTACCTTAGGTGGTTGGGGTCCGTTTGCGGGCTACTTTGCGTCTCGTCGCGTCGTTGGGTAGAGATCGTTTTGACCGGGTGGGGCGTGTTGCGGACTGTGGTGTCAAGCTAGCCATTGGCTAAGTGCGGCTGAGGGGACATGCCATGTTTTAGGAAAGCTAAGCAAGCCACTGCTTTTTAGGACTTTTCAAGAAAAGGGACACCACCACTGAATTTGAGAACTGGGAGCATACGGAGTCCGGCTGGACCGAAAAACAAGACCCTGAAAATGGGGACTTGAAGGGCCCACCAACAGGGTTTCTAAGCTTTGGGTGATTACAATCTCTATAACCCTTATTATTCCTAGCCTTTCTAGAATTCATAGTTTATATCCAGGTGCAAGTACTACATCCGTTAAGTTACCATAAAGCCGGACGTGGTGGCTCCCTCGTAATCCCAGCAATTCGGGAGGCTGAGACAGGAGGATCGCGAGTTCGAGGCCAGCCTCCGCAGATAAGTGAGGCTGTCTCAAAATTTAAAAGGGGTGGGGATGTGGCTCAGTGGTAAAGCGTTCCAGGGTTAGATCCCACCCCCCCAGGGGAAAAAAAAAAAAGTTCCAATAAGCATGTTTAGTGAGCACTTCGTTTGTGCCAGCCACCGGGTGGGTTACAAACTGTCATGTTTTTAAGCCTTAAAAGGAGTGCAGCTCAGTGGCAGAGCTCCTTCACAGCATGTGTGAAGCCCTGGGTTCATCCCAGCACCACATGAAACACCGCAAAAGGGTTTTCAACATGTGAGATGGATAATAACATCCACGAGCCTAAGTAGAAGAGCTGGCAAATCCAGGCCTGCCGGACTCGGGATTGAGTCTTCTGCTTTACTGCTACAATAATTGTTTTTTGTTTTTTTGTTGTTTTTTTTTTTTTTTTTTTTTTAGTTTTTATTCAAGGGCTTGTAATCCCAGGTATTCCAAAGGCTGAGGCAAGAGTTTTGCCAGTTCAAGACCAGCCAAGGCAACAAAGTCAGACCATGTCTCCAAAACAAAAAATTTTTCAAGGGCTGGGGTGTAGGTTAGTGGTTCAGCACTTGACTAGCATAACAAGCAAGGTCCTGGGTTCACCCCCAGTCCTGCAAAAATAAAATTTGTAAACATTACCCCCAACAGTATAATTAACTCTTTAGACACCCATTGCCCAGATTATGTTTTCTTTTAACTAAATCACAAGCCCATAGCCAGTCTCACCTCTCAATGTAAATCTTTTTGTGGCAGCCCATGAGTTTTAAATAATTAAGCCCCACAACTCATCACATTAACTGCTTAACTCACTTGGCCCTATCCATTGCCTCTTGAGAATTCTTATCATTATTAGAGAATTCAGAAAGTATAAGTTCTTTATAAACATTATTATCAATTACAGAAAATGCTTCTTTAGATTTACTATGTGCAGGTCATTGTAAAGGGCTTTATGTATCTTCCTATTTAATTCTCTAAAACTGAAGATTTGCACATTTTACAGGTGAAAAAACAAGACAGAGAGATTAATAAAATTGTCCCAGACCTGAGTTAGGGTTTGGACCAATCAGACAGCAATGCCATTTTCTTTAATCATTAAAATATGTGGTCTTTTGTAGTAATAAACATTGAATTAACTCACTTATGTGTCAGCAAGCTTTTCTGGGGTATGTACAAACTATTTCTACAATTATAAACTTAAGAGAAAACCCTCCATGCCCCAGCAACCAGTTCATACCTGTTCAAAGCACTTAAGATTGTATGTCAATGGTTGTTTACACAACTAGTTTTTCCTATATCCCTGGCTTTTTCAAGGCCAGGGATTGTGTCTTATTTGTTTTTATATCCATAGGGATTAGCCAGTTCCTGGCAAACAGCTAGGACTCAAAAAGTTTCCTGAGTGAAGATTTGCACATTTTACAGATGAAAAAAACAAGACAGAGAGATTAATAAAATTAGGACCCAGTCAAGCCACTTCTCTTTGATGCAGCACAACACAAAAAGATCTCCCACCAAGATATGGGATGAAAGACCACAGGCTTCTAGCTCTCCTCAAAATTGAGAGATCCTGCAATGGTTGCATCCAGAAGAGGGGGAGGAAGGCCCCACACACTGTAGATAATCCAGGTTTGGGTTGGAAAACAAGGTTGAAGTTATTCATTAGCAGGTGAAGGGGTCAAGGGTCGAGGCATGGGGGCTGGAAGAGAGTGGACTGAGCAGCCCTCGGTGAAGAGAGCAGTTAAAGCACCAGTTACCCCACCAGACCACCAGCTCCTTCCCACCTGAAGATGTTCAATCAAATTTGGGCAGCTCTACTCTACCTCTATGGCATTCTCCTTAACTCCATCTATCAGTGCCCTGAACACAGTCAACTGACAACTCTGGGAGTGGATGAGAAAGAGGTATGGACTGAGAATGGGGGAAGCCTATGGTGGAAGCCTTAAAAGTCTTGGGTGGGTAGCCTAGGATAACCAGAAGCTATGTTTGAAAAGGGAGGAAGAAACATGAGTGTTTTGATGATGAAAACAGGAAGAAAAATATCAATGCTGTAGCCATCACTGTGGAGATATGAAAGAATTGGAGGGTGGGGTAGAGTGGTTACCCAGGTTGATTGCAGAGGATCAAAGAGAAAGTTATTTCATGACTCCTTGTCATGAACTTAGCCCCCAATTGGAAAGAGGAAGACAACCAACACCTTCACCCCAAATCTTGCTGTGCTGACTGATGAAGCAGCTGAATGAATTCTGAGATGGACCCCCCAATCTACCCTCTTTTATTCCCCTTATTGTCTCTCCAGTTCCCAGAGCCCCACCTGGGCCAGTGGTACTTTATCGCAGGGGCAGCTCCCACCAAGGAGGAGTTGGCAACTTTTGACTCTGTGGACAACATTATCTTCAACATGGCTTCTGGTTCTGCCCCACTGCAGCTCCAGCTTCGTGCTACCATCCGCATGTGAGTAGTGAGAAGGCAGAGGCATCAATAGTTGCACTCTCTGCCCAAAGTGTGAGCAGCCACCCACTGGGCTCTTGGTCGGTATATCCATGACTCTTGGCCCAGTGAATTCAATAGCTCTACCAGTTGCTCTCTGGAGAAAGAATGGACTTAACCATCTCTTGGTAGCTTGAAACCCAAAGGGAGTCAGGCATCAGCAAAGAACAAGATGGAATAAAAACATGCTGGGGCTGGGGATGTAGCTCAGTTGGTAGAGTGCTTGCACAAGGCCCTGGGTTAAATCCCTGACACAACAAAAAACAAACAAAAAATAAAAACCATGGTGGTACTGTGTGGTTGGGGTAACACTCTTGTCTTTTCTTCTTGCTATCATCACCTCTGCAGGAAAAATGGATTCTGTGTGCCCCGTGAATGGATTTATCACTTGACTGAAGGGAACACAGACCTCAGAACTGAAGGTTGGTTCCCACCAGCTCTCAACCACCCCAGCCTCCCTAAGCTTGGTTTTGCATTTCTGTTCTCACCCATCCCCAACTCTGCCCTGACAGGCCGCCCTGACATGAAGACTGAGCTCTTCTCCAGCTCATGCCCAGGTGGAATTATGCTGAAAGAGACAGGCCAGGGTTACCAGCGCTTTCTCCTCTACAGTGAGTGGAAATGCAAGGCAGGAAGTGTCAGTGAAACAAGGGAGGGCAGAAGGGCTGCCCAGTCTGGGCCCTTAGACATCCTTTCAAAATGGGCTGAGAATTTCTGTGAGGTCCTGGGGGTGAGAAGGAGGGTCTTTGACTGGCCTGGCTGCACCCTGCCCTTTCAGATCGCTCACCACACCCTTCTGAGAAGTGTGTGGAAGAATTCCAGACCCTGACCTCCTGCCTGGACTCCAGAGCCTTCTTACTAACTCCCAGGAATCAAGGTGAGGGGTTAAAGTCTTCCAGAAGAGGACTGGGACTCACCAGGTCTTCTGCAAGTGCTAAATGAGAGGCTCATGTGATGTTACCAGAGGGCATGGCCAAAGGCAGACATCACCTGAGTGGCTGTGAGGTCACTTGTACATCTCATAAGCTATGATGGCATCACAGGGATATGACTAAGAGCTGTGATGTTGTCTAAGGGACCCAGGATGGGTTCTGGGCTATTCAAAAAACAGGTTTAAGTCTATAGTGGATAAAGGGGGCAGAGATTCAGACATACAGGAGAAAAGGCCTTTAAGAGTCCTTTGACATGGGGGAATAAAGGCACACATTCTTCCCCAACCCCAAAACCACCAACCTTATTCTCTCCCTGGACTGCCTTTCTATCTTCTTTTCCTTCCTCCCTTCACAGAGGCCTGCAAACTGTCCAGTAACTGACCTGTAACTTCATCTGTGCCCCCAGAACAATATAGCGGTTGCTGAGTTGTTGGGGGAAAGAGAAGCTGGAGACTCCTGATTCCCTTTCAAGGAAAATAAAAATGATTTTTCAATCCACATCACATCCTGGGGTTTATCTCCAGACATCAATGTTACTCCCCCTAATTCAACACTCCTCTAGACCCTCTACCACCTAACCCCCCAAATTGGACGGCGTCAGGAAAGACACTGAGTGACAGTACCTCTCACATTGTAGTGGTGTATTTAGGATTTAGTATTACACAGTTATTTATTGCTGAGTGAACAAGCCCCTAGTCTCTTAGTGGGAACTACAAACTTCAGTGCTCCCCTGTCTGAGCTGCGAGTCCCTTCTGAGCTGTGGTACTCCTGCCAATACTGCCTACACCTTCCTCTGACTCAAGAGCACCAGGTCTTCCTGCAGCCTTTGTCACCTGTGGGCCCTCTCCAGGCTCCTAATCCGCCAACATAGCAGCCCCATTCCTTCCTAGATGGCTCAGGTTCCAGGCTCCCGGGACATCTTGGGTCTCTCAGCCACCCTCTTAGTGAAGAGATCTCTATTGTGCCTTTTTGGTCTCCTCCACCCCTGGCAAATTTGGAAAGGGAGGAAAGACCCATTGGTATTTATTCTCCACTATCACTTTTTTTTTTTTTTTTTTTAATGGAGGTGGAAAGAAAAAATGTAAAAGGATAAATGTAAAAGCAGAAAGTAACAACAGCTGGTGAATCCTAGGGTAATGCCCACCATCCATAAATATGTCTGTTCTCTCAGCTAAACAGCTCTGTTCTCTCCTGTGTATGAAGGGGGGCCCTGTGCCTCACTCTCGGGTTTCTTTCTGATCCCTGAGGTCCCTGTGCTTACAATCAGAGTCATGCTCCCCAGTCTTTTACTAAAGGCCACACTATCTTTGCCTTTTGCCCCCACCCCACCCCATAGTCACAGTCCCTTTCCTTGATCTCCCCTCTGTTCTTCACCCTCCCTCAGGAAACCCTCACCCTCCCAGTCAGTGGCCTCCTCATCCCCACCAGGCTCCCGGAGGCTGACAGCCAACACCAGCGCCTGCAGGAGGCCAAAGAGGCAGGCAAAGTGTAGAGGGTGGGCAGTAAGTAGGCTCAGCACAGCATGGAGCCCATGCAGAGCAGCAAGGAAAGACAGTAGCCCGTGAATCCAGAGGCCCACTGGTCCTCGAAGACCCAATGCATCCAAGACTGCCCGCAATGGCCGAGAGCACAGCGCCAGCAGGGCTGAGGCCAGCAGCTCTAACAGGTGTAGGGTCAGGTTGGTGGAGATCTGCAGACACTCCTCTGGGCCCCCCAGGTACCGTGGGGGTGCCCCTGGTTCCCCCCGCAGCCAGCCCAGCAGCTTCTGATGCTGGCCAGTTTTCTCCACTGGGACTTCTGGCCCAGGGGCGCCCAGTCCCCCTTCAAGAGACACCCCAGGACTCCTGGTGCCACCTGAATCCACAGGATCCCATTCTAGTTTTGGAATGGCCCCTCCATCCTCCAGTCTCCCAGACTCTTGAGTGCTAGAGACAGTCTTGTCCCACTTGAGGGAATCCATTCTTTTGTTCCCCAGTTGCTCAACTTGGGGCTCCCTGCTTGGTTCTGGAGCAGCCCGGAAACTCCTCAGTGTCCCTGAGTCCTTGGTCTTGGGAGGCCCCACATCTCCCATGGTTTCTGGGGCACTGTCCCAATCACTCCCTGAATTCTCAGGGGAGCTGTCCACCCATTTGGGTTCTGGGGCAGGCGGGTCAGGCCTCATGGGTTTCCGGCGGCCCCAAGGGCGAGGTAGCCAGCCACCAAGCCGTCGCAGGAACATGGTTGGGGTGTGTAATGAACTCCCCAAATCTGGGGCTACTTCCTGGCACTTCTTACACTCTCAAGGTCTCCTCAGAAGGCAGAATCTATTCAGGTTCAGAACAGGTTATCTGCTTGTTGATGCCGTCCTATTCTGAATTCAGAAGGGGCTCCCCGCTCCCCTGAATGGTCATGCAGCCTCAAGAATGGCAAGTGGTTTGTTTTGTTTTCCGTTTGGGGGTAAAGAAGGGAGGCACACTCGAATTCATTCACCACCACAATCCCCACCCATGAGATTTCAAGAGTCTCAGGGTCTGACAAGACCGGGGTCACCCCTACAGTGTCCGTGTTCCAGATTTCCTTCCCAGCAGGCAGCACCCCAAGTTTCACTCACCAAGGCCACGCCACAAGGTGCCCCAGAAACTGGGGAGGCGGTGCTCCATCAAAGAAGGAAGGAAGAAAGGTGGCCCAGGGTTCTTAGGTCCTCCTGGATCTGAAAAGTCTTAATCTGCTGCCCCAAGGGAGTTCAAGGAATAGGAAGTCTCTGTTGGGAAGTAGGTGGAAGATGTCCAGCAAACTCCAGCCAGTAGCGTCCGTCCCGATTAAGGAGGCTATGATTCCTACAAAGTGGCCCCACCGGCCGGCGAGGACGCAACAGAGACGCGGCCTCCGCAAGGTCAGGACGGAGATCCTCGGAGATCCCAGTCGGGAGGCACAGCGCGGGCCTACGTGGGGGCCTACGTGGGGACCCAGGCGTCCAGGCGCTTGTGCACTGGGACCGCTCTTGGGCCCAGCGTCGGAGCCCGGGCCTCGCGGACCGCCCGTAGTGGCGGAGCCCGGAAGCAGCAGCACCGGGACGGGAGGGACTGGCGGGGGCGGAGCCCACAGATCGCTGGGCGGACCCTGAGGATCGACCTCCCCGCTACCCCCGCGCTTTCTTTGAGCTCGGTTCCGCAGGCGGCGGCGCGTATTCGCGAGGGCCAGAGTCAGAATACAAACCCAGTTCTCTGTTTTCACCTCCCAGAGGCACTACGCCCCGGTGCTTCTCTAAACTCGCCTACCCACTGCCCTTGGGTTCTTGTGTATCCGTCCTCCCAACTCCAGCACACACTCTCTCCACTTATCTCGCACGACTTTGTGAAAGGCTTTTCCGGAGGGGAAAATGATGAGGGCGACATTGAGACTGTAGCGGCCCTTCTTTGCCCCTCCATGCAGGGATCTGTTAACTCTTCATGTGCCTAGCACCTGGTATGAGCACAATGGAGTGAGGGGGTGCTAAAGTGGCAAATTGTGGGAAAACAAATTATTCCCTGCCCTCAGGAGCTTTCAGGTTGTGAAATGAACTGTGACAAGTTTAGATTTGGGAGGCCGGTTTGGTCCCAGCTCAAACAGCATTAAGGGCGGATAATTACACCTTGTATCACAGAGCTCTTGAGAGTAAGGGCTTTCCTTGACTTACCCTATCACCACCCATTGTAATGTAATAAAATGACTACACTTCCCTCCTGCAGGGTTGGGAAAGTCTTTCACTAGTAGTCTTAGTACATTGTATATGACTATGTTTAAGATCAGTGACTGAATTGGCTGGAATAGTCAGGGGACCCTTCTTAGGGGAAGTGAGAATTATGGCAATTCCAGAGTTCAGGAAAGTTTGAAAGAATAGGTGGGGCACCTATCCAGCAGGGGCTAGGATCTGGAAATGAACCCAGACTGGCAGTCACCTGGGGAGGCTGCCTCTTTTGGCTCAGGTGGGACTTATATGTAGTCCCCAGATTTCTGTTTGGCTTCCTCAACAGATTCCAAAAAAGTAAATAAACCACAATACAAGATGTTTATTTCTCAATTCTCAGCCCTTCCTCACCAAATCAGTGTCCAACGACCAAAACCTGAAGATCTGGCACCTGGGCAGATCCCAGAAAACATAAGTCGAAGGGCCCAAGTCAGAGATCCAAGTTCAGAATTCAAAGCAGACCAACATCAGATTTCACCTATGTCAGAAATCAAGGTTCATGTATAACCTCAGATCCCGCTCCCAGGCCTTGTCCTTCTCCTCTTGCTTTCTGTTCTCCCTCCGGCTAAGTGTGGCCACTCGAGGAGCTCTCTCTCTCCCAGACACAGCCCGGGTATCCCGAGCTGGGAAATGTGTGACTCGGGGCTGGGGTGCTGATCTGTAACCTAGACCTTCTTGGTCCCTCTTGAGGACGGTAGGTATGGGGTTGGCACGGCCTTCACCCCGGGGTCCCAGCCCCATTCCTGGTTCCCAGCCTCCCCTCAGCAGCAGCTTGAAACCAGGGCTGGAGGTGGGCACCCCAAAGGGAAGGCTAGCGGGCTGGGAACCCCTGGACAGTGACAGCAGATGAGCAGTGGATGTGCAGTGGTTGGAGTCTTCAAAATGGGCATCACAGGTCTCGCAGTACTGAGAGGAGGGACAAGGAGACCTACAGAGAAAGAAGAACAGAGGAATCAAAGGTGAAGAATTGAGGCCTTAGGGGGATGGCAGTGTGGGGCAGAATCCCTCCAGCTTTTCTGCTAAGGAACACATTGCCTTCCTTCCCACTTAGCATCATCACTTTGTTTTGCTTTAAATGATGGGATTAAAACCCAGGGCTTCATGCATGCGAGGCAAGTGCTCCACCACTGAGCTATACCCAAGCCCCTCCCCACCTAGCAAGAGGGACCCAGATGGCAATATTGGGAAGAAAAGTTGGCAACCAAGCCTCACAAAATCTTGGGAAAGGGAATGATAATGACTATAGCTATTACTTTTATAGTGCAGATTTCATGGCAAGTACTATTCTAGCACTTATATATTTAACTCACTGAATCCTAAAAACAATCCCATGAAAAAGGTGCTCTTTAACCCCCATTTCTCAGAGGGGAAAACATATGTAGTCATTTTCTTCCAAATAAGTGGTGTTAGAATTTAAACCTAGGGAGTATATGTCCATAACCACTTGAGTATATTACTTTATCAACCTACCCTGGAGAATAGGGACACTCCTTAAGCTGTTCTAGGGCCTCTAGTGTGGGGTGGCCAGGAAAGGCAGAACACATTGAAAGAAGAGTATGGGATAAGGTTCCCCCTCACCGGTTCTCTGGGCTCCGTGTCTCTCCATGGCTCTCCCTGATCATGCGGGCCACCTTGGCAAAGCCTGCTTCTTCAGCCAGCTGAGCAGCATCCTTGCCACCCAGCTCACAGACCCCCACCCAGGCAGCCCCTCGGCCCAGGAGATAGTGCACAGCAGCACTCTGGCCAGCTCGAGCAGCACACATCAGAGGTGTCCACCAGAAGGCATCTCGAGTGTTGATATTCCCTCCAGCTCCCCCTGCCTCACAGGGCTCCAACAGCCTTCGAAGTTCTGCCAGGTCCCCCTCTTGGGCAGCCTTCAATATCCACTGGGTCATTTTGTCCTCAGTTTCAAAGGATCTGCCTTGTCCATGTCTTCCTGGTATTCCTACTGCCACTGCTTCTGCTGCAACCTCCTTTGTCATTCTTCTTTTCTTCCTTTTTTTCTCCCTAACAGGATCAGGCCGAAATCTCTGGGGTTCAGGCATACTGTTCTCATCTGCAATCAGTGCCTCATAGAAAGCCCGTGTTGCAGCCCCATCCAGGGTGGGCTCTGGCTTTTCAGGCTCTGACTGCTGTTGCCCATCCTTCCATAGGTCACTGGGGTCTGTGGCTGGGGTGAATGTGATGAGGGAAGGCCTGGACATGGCTTTTGGGAAAATGTAGACAAAAGAAGGATGAAACAAGCAACCTAACCCGATGGCCTCTGTAGTGACCAGTACCACCTCCAGGGATCTGCTGGGAGAAAGGGTGGCCTTGGATGAACAACACCCTACTGCCCCAAAACTTGACTCCACAACCTAAAGCCCTGCAAGGCTTAAGGGTCCTGGGTCACATGTAAAAATAGTGACCCCTAGAATAATAGACCCGGCCCCTTAGTAAAGATTACTAAAACTCCATGAGGGATTAGACGTGTGGATCTACATAGATGGCAGAGCTCTTGCAAATATAAAACCCTGGATTCAATGTGCAGCACTGAGAAGAAAAAAAAAATCTCTTAATACACACCACTAAGGAAACTCAAACCGGCCCTTTAATTCTTGCTCGATCCTATTTCGAGATCTCCTGTTTCCAAACAAAAACAGACGTGACACTTTTCTGCAGTATCTCCAGAAAATGGGAAAGGCTCCTGCCTGCGTTGCTTTGTAGGTTCCGTACCGTAAAATGGCGCTATTCTAATCTAAAGAGTTGACAAACAGCCACACGGCACGAAGACGCATGCGTGACGACACCAACAACAAAACACCCAAAAGGTGGTTTCCCGCGCTGGAACCTTTTCGAGTATACGCGTCAAGCATCGCGTGCCTAACTAGCGCGAGGACCCCGGAGTTCTGTCGGTTGGGGTCCTACTTTTACATAACGCCCCCACAATGCCCTTCGCGGCCCTCGATGTGGCCCCCACCTACAAGTTCATTTCCTGGAGCTGGGAAACCATTCTCCGGTTTAAGAAAAGCCCTAAGAAGCCAGAAGGAAACCTGTGGAATGCCGAGAAGCTGTGAAATGAAATAACGTCACGTTGCCCCTCACCATTACTCTGACCAGGGTTCGAAGAACACACTTAAGAGCCCGCAGCAGAACGCTCCATTCAAGCCCTAAGAGGAAATGGAAAAGTCCAAAGGGACGAACAGCAGAATGGCTGGCGCCACCTCAGGTTAGCGCACTGGGCCGTCCCGGTTCTCACACCACTCACTCAGCTCAGCCTAAGCACACCCGATCCAAGTCCCTCAGAATGGAGCCGGTCACACCTCCCGGCCTTACGCCAAATCCCGGGTGAAACATGGGTCCGTCAGGGGATCTAGTGGCGGGTCCGACTCGGAGGAGGAACCTGACTGGCAATAGGAGCCCAGTAGATAGACCTAGAATGGAGTCCATCCGCAGGGCTGTAGCACCGAGCTGGGACCTGAGGCGAAAGGTGTGAGAGAGGCGGGGAGGGATCAGTCAGCTTGCCCCAGTCCCCGCCCCTTCTCGACCCCTCAGTCCAGTGGGCGCACGACTATATTTCCCAGGCTCGCTGGCCCCGAACGCCGTACTTGGCTTCCGCTTCCGGTGTGCCTCGCTGAGCCCCGCCCCCCAGACGTCGTTCTCGGGGGCCTCGCGACACCAGGGTCGTGCGCAGGTTTTCCTGGGATTCGTAGTTCGCCTCTACTCAAATCGCTAGTTTTTCTCCATACTGGGGACTCCATTTCCCGGCGTCCACCGAGCCTCCCGACCCTTGGCGCTTGCGCATTTTCCTCTTCCCCACCCTCTCCAGTTTCCACTCTTCCCCCACTCACCCCCCCCCCAACCTAGCCTGCCGCGGTCGGGTCCGCGGCCTGCGCTGTAGCGGTAGCCGCCGTTCCTTAGAAGCCGTAATCCCCTCCCCCACCCCGGTCCCGTTCCCCGTCCAGAGGGTGAGTCTAAGGTCGTCGCCGTGCCTGTCCCCTGTCCCTGGGCGCGGCACATGGGGTCTTTGCGCCTTGATGTGGGGGCGAGGAAGGAAGTGACCCGGTCCATCACCAAAGGAAGGGAGGGAGAGTGAGCTGAGGGCCGGAGGTGTTATCTGGGTACTCCGGTGAAAGGGGCATGACGGCCGTTCTCAGTATGTGAGGAAAGGAGGGACCCGGCCCTTGGGAAGGATAAACTTCAGAACCCTTGGGAAAGACGCGGAGGACATGCAGACACCTGCGGTGGTAGGGAGCCCAAGCCGAGGGCCCTGCTGAAACTGACACAAAGGGGAGAGGTCAGGGAGGGTCAGAGAGTGGATGGAGTAGGTGGATCAGTACCTGCGGTTTCTCACAAGTGGTGGGACTTAAGAGAATTTCCCCCTCACCAAAAGTGGCAGAAGTGTAAGAGAGGCTGGAGAGGGTTGCTTCAGGGCCTGGGATCCTTTAAGAAAGGGTGGCCCCAAATCTTTCCGTGTTGGAGTGTGGGAGGAGGGAGGATACCAAAGGCAGACGGGAGAGTTTGGGCTTACTTATAACACCACCATACCCCCCCCCTTTTTTTTTCCCAGCCAACGTGAAGATGAGTAGCTCAGAGGAGGTGTCTTGGATTTCCTGGTTCTGTGGGCTCCGTGGCAATGAATTCTTCTGTGAAGTGAGTTCTCTGCAAACCCCTAATTGACAACTCCTCATGTCTTTCAGCTTCTGTACACTTAGATGTGTCTATGGGCACTCCTTCCCATCAAGGAAAGGTCTTACCAGTAGTTCTCTACTAACCAGTGAAGAAGAGGCGTGACTGGGGACCTGCCACCCTGCAGCAGTATACATTTGGATTTGTTAATCTGTCTTATTACTAGGATGGTATACTGGTAGTGTCTACCTTTGGTAGTTAAGAAATTTGAAATGCTTCATGTTAAGATCTTTGTAATGGGCATGGCTGTGTGTTAATGTAAGGGATTCAAACAGCCTTTAGACACCAGGCTGTTCAGTGTCCATCATCATCACAAAGCCAGATGTACCAAAGTAGAAGACAAAACAGGTTCCTAGAGATGAGAGGCAGAAGAAGAAATAGTGATCTTGAAAGGAATATCTGTGTAAGGAGGAGGTAGCTATACCTGCTTATCCTTAGAAAAGCCTAAGCTTTTTGAGAGAGTGATGTAAACTGGCAGGAGATAACTCAAGTACTTCTGCCAAGTTGGGAGTGGGGAACAGATACAGTTTAGAGCTTCTTACCCAAGTCAAGCTGGGTATTCTTATAAAGGTTCTGTCTTCTGTGTTCTGTCAGGTGGATGAAGACTATATCCAGGACAAATTTAATCTTACTGGACTCAATGAGCAGGTGCCTCACTATCGACAAGCTCTAGACATGATCTTGGACCTGGAGCCTGGTGAGGCTTCTTCAGGGTTGTTGTGTGTATGCATGTGCATTCACACATACATATGTGCCTTCTTTTATCTTCCAATCCCTATTATTTTCTTGAGATTTTAAATTTCCTTTTAGTTCTCTACTCTCCTAACCTCAAATCCCCTGCTTTATTTTGATCCCCTATCTGACTTGCCTCATTGTGCGATGGTTTTCTTGCTCTCTGAATTTATAACTCATCATTGCATAATGCCACTTTACTCATGGATATCATTTATGACCTCTTTCTCTTGCTTTGCACCTTTCAGTCTAGACTGACTTCTTTGTGTTTTTGTGTTAAGAAGGGAGTAGGGAGGGAGAGAAGAGAGCAGGGGCTGAAGAAGTGTGGAGAGAAGGCAGAGCTTCTTTGAATTGGTGAAAAGGTCAAAGGACCAGTTTTCTGGTTTGGATGCCAGGTGATGAATGGGGTGGGGCTCAAAGGTGGGCACTGGACAAGCTGAGCAGCTTATGATCCCTAAGGGTGGATGGGTATCTAGGAAAGCTGAAAAACAAGTGGTTGCATCTGGCCGGCCCACATTGCAGATGAAGAGCTGGAAGACAACCCCAACCAGAGTGACCTGATTGAGCAGGCAGCTGAGATGCTGTATGGATTGATCCACGCCCGCTACATCCTCACCAACCGTGGCATCGCCCAGATGGTGAGGCCTCTCTGCTCCCACTTGACTCCTTCTGAAGCAATAAGGGAAATAATTCCTTCAGCAAGAAGTCACCATCAGGAATGGCTTCATCCCAGTCAAGGAATTTAGCTCAGGGCCAGGGCTTGGAGAATGAATCTTACTGGGGGTTGTGCTGAGGGGACTATTTTCAGGGAGGGAAATGAGAGCTTGGACAGGGAGTTGTTATAGATTGCCTCTTCTTTAGGGAACAAATAGCAGATGGCACTGGTGTTCTGCAGCTTGCCCAACTGGAGGAAAGGCAGCAGAGGAGTCAGAGGGCCCATCTGGACCAGAGAAGGGGCTTCTGGTCAGAAGTGGGAGGTGGGAGGGGCAGAGTGATGTTGGTTGGGCTGAGGAAGGGCTTGCCTCTTCTCATCACACTTACCTGCCAACTCCCTTCCATTTTATTCACCTCAGTTGGAAAAGTACCAGCAGGGGGATTTTGGCTACTGTCCCCGTGTGTACTGTGAGAACCAGCCAATGCTTCCCATCGGTGAGTGTTGAAGAAGGGAGAGGAGGGCACTGTATGTCAGTCCTCCAAGACTGAGGCTCAGCAGATTGGTGCCTGAGTCTTATGGGGAATTTGGGCAGAGTTGGGGGGGGACCTGGCCTGCAGAGTCTGGCTGTCTCCCAGGCCTTTCAGACATCCCAGGCGAGGCTATGGTGAAGCTCTACTGTCCCAAGTGCATGGATGTGTACACACCCAAGTCATCGAGGCACCATCACACGGACGGCGCCTACTTCGGCACCGGTTTCCCTCACATGCTCTTCATGGTGCATCCAGAATACCGGCCCAAGCGACCTGCCAACCAGTTTGTGCCCAGGTGGGGAGCAGGGACAGAATCACCAAGGGTCAAAGGAAAGGCTGAGGATTTACTGAGAAAAGGGAGGTCACAGATAGCCCTTTCTTGAGGCCTGCTTTTCCAAAACCAGGCTTCTTCCTGCTGAATGATTGTAGGGCAGTTATTTGATTATCTGTGCCTCAGTTTCCTTGTCCATCAAACACGGATGCTAATAGCATGTGCCTAGTTGATAGTGCTTTCTTTTTCTGTTTTGGTTGTTTTATTTTTTTGTATGTTATACTGGGATTTGAACCCAGGACTTGTGACTTCCTAGACAAGTATTCTACCACTAAACTACATCTACAACTCTTTTTTAAATTTAATTTTGAAGTAAGATTTGTTTAAGGTGCCCAGGCTTTCCTCACAAACTTATGTTCTCCTCCTCAGCGTCTTGGTAGCTAAGATTATAAAAGTGTGTCACGATACCAGGCTTGTTTTGTTTTCAGTCTTGCTCATGCTGGTCTCAAAATTCCTCAGTAGCTGGAACTGTAGGGAGCACCATCACACCTGGTCTGGAATTTAAGTTTCAATGAATTTTTTTTTTTTTTTTTTTTTTTGTACCAGGGATTGAACTCAGGGGCACTCAACCACTGAGCCACATCCCCAACCCAATTTTGTATTTTATTTAGAGACAGGGTCTCACTGAGTTGCTTAGCACCTCACCATTGCTGAGGCTGACTTTGAATTCTCAATCCTCCTGTCTCAGCCTCCCAAGCCACTGGGATTACAGCTTTAATGGATGTTTAAGATACATTCCCAAATATTCATAACACAGAAGCTTGGGAACAACTGTTCTCAAGCATTGAGCAGGCCCATGGAGGAGCTGGGGTAGGGAGGTGGGAATGCAGGCAGGGCCAAGATTGGGCTCACCCTGCTGCCTCTCTGACCTCTGCCCTGGCCAGGCTCTACGGTTTCAAGATCCATCCGATGGCTTACCAGCTGCAACTCCAAGCCGCCAGCAACTTCAAGAGCCCAGTCAAGACGATTCGCTGATACCCCACCCCGTGTGTCCCTCACTCAGTCTTTGACACTTCCATTCCTTTGCTGCCACCCTTTCAAGAACCCTCTGGTTTTTAGTTTAAATTAAAGGAGTCATTATTGTGGTGGGAATATGAAATAAAGTGGAAGAAAAGGCCATGAGTTAGTCTGCTGGTGCTTGTGGTTGGGAAAGGGATGGTGGTGGTGTGTTGGACCCAAGGGGCCATGGCTCAGCCCACCCTCCCAGGTTGTAAACCAGCACACATCTGTGCTGCATGGATTTGGTTTTATATTTTTATTATAGAGCAAAGTGGGGAAATAAAATGTCAAAAGGAAAAGAAAAGAAACAATCAGGTTTTAAGGACAAGAATAATATTTTTGTTCTCTTTGAGCACCATGGGTATTTGTTTATAAGGGGCTTAACCAGCAATATTATTTTTTTAGTTGGTTTTAAGGTAATGTAGTCCTAAAATAAACAGAACTGTAAGGGGTAGAGAGGAGGGAAGAGATCCTGTGGTAATCCATGTTCCCTGTCTGGGGTATGTGACACATGCTCCTCAGAAGGATGGGGATTCTTAGGCCTGGGCAATGTCCCAGCACAATGGGAACTAACCCTATTGTGTGGGAAAGACTACAGATAGTGCCAGAGACTGACACTAATCAATCTATGGGCCCTTGAGAGAAGGGGGACGTGTAGGATAAAGATAGACAACTGAACAAAGATCTGTGTGGTAACCAGGTATTACCCTGTCTGGGCCACTGCTCCCACTCTCGGGAACCAGACTTTATGGTTTAGGACATGCTGTCCCTCCTGCCAAGTTAATAATTTCCTCCACCAGCCAGAATTCTGCCCCAGGCGGGAATATAGCTCCACACTCACAGCAAACTCCTCAGACTGCCTGTCAAAACCATCCTGCTGTTCAGGATCAAACTCTTTCATAGGGTTTTAGGCATCCTTCAGGAACCACCCCTCTCTCCCGAATTCAATAATGAAGGCCTATATGCTTGTAGATGTGCTTATCATGGTGGCCTTCACAGTGGGAAAGGGTAAGTGAGGCCCAGGGGCAGGGAAGAAGGGGAAAATCGTCTAGAAAAGGGGTAGAACTGGGGCTCTGAATGCTTGCCATCCTAGCCTCTGCTTCCATCCTTCCTTCTTTGGCATCCCCAGGTCCTGTCCCCCAGGTCCGAACCTGCCACTTGTGCCTCTTAGAAGATCCTTCTGTAGGATGCATTTCGGGCTCCGAGAAGTGCACTATCAGCAGCTTATCCCCATGCATGGTGATCACCATCTATATTAGTGAGTAAAGTCCCAGGAAGGGGCTGCTGGTGGGACAGCTATGGCTTGGTTTCTTCCTACAGAGCATCTTGGAAGGAGGGGCAGGGGTTCTTGTGGCCTCATCTGAAGGTGCCCAGAATAGAAATCAGGTCTGGGTGAGGTTTGGGGAATCAATGGCAGGGGAACCAAGTTTGGGGACTGTGTGAAGCTATTATTAGAGATTATGGCTGTCCCATCTCCTTTAGATAACAAGGTTCGCTTCATCATCCGAGGCTGTGGACAGTACAATTCTTACCGCTGCCAAGAAAAACACAGCACCTACTTGCCAGGGTACTGGTATGAGGCCCAGTGCTGCCAGTATGATTACTGCAACGCCTGGTTCAGCCCCCAACTCCAGAGCTCCCTGCCTGAGTCCCGCAAAAGACCCATAATCCGGCCCCTGTCCAACCCCCAGATCCACCAGTTCTACCAGGCCCTGAACCTCTCATTGCCCCTGCCTAGCTTTGATGCTGGGAAGGAGCCTAAAGGCCAGGAGACCCTGTTCACTCTGCCCCTGGAGCTGGGCTTGTCCATTGCTGACCTGCGCCACATGTACTTGTTCCTCAACAGTTCAAGAGTTCTGGTTCTTCCCCAGGCTGGACCCTGACATCTTTCCCTTTCAAAATTCCACTCTGTTCCAGAGCCTTTCCTCAACACCTCCAGCATCTTGCAGTACCCTCTGAGAATATCACATCCTCTGACCCCTGTGATCTCTTAGGCCTCCCTCCTTTGGACCTCCAGTGTCTATATGGTTTTCATTTAATTTCCTCCCAGGAACCCTGGTGCTGCTCTTTTTTCCTCCTAATAAAGAATCTCAAATGTGAATTCTGCCCAGTCTGACCTGAAAAAGGCACAGAGGTTCCCATCATCTGAGTGTTTCACCATCTTCCCCTCTTCTCAGTCTGGTCATCTGCCACATCTACTCAGATCTGGCACTATATCTCCTTTCTTTTGCCTGTCTCTAAGAGTTGGTGCCAGACTGAACTAGCAGAAGAAAGGACTAAGGGTAGACTGCTGTGAAGATTTCCTGACATAGCAATCTGATGTTTCTGCCTCATTGCCTCTTCATCTCCTCTTCTGTCCTACTTTCCTGCTGCCTGTGTCCTTTCTTTTCTCAATATTTGTCCTCCTCAGCCCCATTTCACCTCACTGAGTACTGATACCCATGTCCATTAGTGCCTGGTGAAAGGAAAGAGAGGGTCTGTCCTACTCTGCTCTACATCCCCCATTTCCCTCCACAATAAACAGACTGGGCTACTAAATCTGTGTCATGTTGTTTGTGATGTCAGGTTTAGTTGTAGGCAGGTGTAAATAGGATAAAGAAAGTTAATAAGTTTGGCATTCAAACAGGATTGCAGAGTCCCACCCACTCTATGTGGCCTTTGTGGCCTCTTGGCCCTCCCCCAAAGGGCCCACATCCTTCCCTACCCGCTGCTCAAAGATCAAAGCATGAGGATCCTGACTCTCCTCAACCTTAACATATTCTGCAAAATCTAGGAAAAAACTTCAAACCAGGAAGATTCAGGATCTACATCTCAGAATCACTTGATGCTAAGGGACCTGGACTCCTTCCTGTACTTAGTTTTCAAGTGTATTAATACCCAAGATCCCCTGTATGGGGATTCAAATGGAGGGGGCATGTGCAGAGTGTGTACTAGTGGGAATGCAGTAGTTGGATCTTTAATATTTTGTTTCTGAAAAATTGCAAGCATACAGAAAGCAACAGTGGATACTCAAAAGTCAGCCTTCACATATTCAACAAACACCGGTCACTGCCCTGAGCCAGACTTGTTAAGCACCAGGAGTCCCACAAAAGTATAGTCGGGGGCTGGGAATATAGCTCAGTTGGTAGAGTGCTTGCTTGCATGCACAAGGCCCTGGGTTCAATCCCCAGCACCACCAAAAAAAAAAAAAAAAAAAAAAGTATAGCCAGGTATCTGCCTTTCCCAAACTTGGGGGTTATGAAAACTTTCTGAAAGCAGTCCAGCTTTGTGGCTGGGAGGCCTAATCTGAGCTCCTCTGCCACTTGGGTAAGTCAGTCTCTCCCAGTCTCATCTTGGTTACCTGTCAAGGAAGAATGCCTTTTTATGCCTCATGGTTGAAGGACACGTAAATATGCACACATACAAATTGTATATATAAGTGCTTTATAAGCCAGGTACCTTGTTGTATACCTAATCCCAGAAATTTGGGAAGCTGAGTCAGGAGGATTGCAAGTTTGAGGCCAGCCTCAGCAAATTAACAAGACTCAGCAGTTTGGTAAGGGTCAACCCCCAGTGCTAAAGAGCGAAAAAAAAAAATTTTTTTTTTGAAGTACATAATGCACTTTAGAGACAAATGCACATACAATTTTTGATCTTACTTTTTTTTGGAAGGGTGGGTACCAGGATTAAATTCAGAGGAACTCGACCACTAAGCCACATCCCCAGCCCTATTTTGTATTTTATTTAGACACGGGGTCTCACTGAGTTGTTTAGCGCCTTGCTAAATTGCTGAGGCTGGCTTTGAACTTGCAATCACTTGGCTCAGCTTCCAAAACTACTGGGATTACAGGCATGCACCACCACACCTGGCTTGATCTTACTTTTTTAAACCTTTCTGACAAAGCATACAGAAGCTTGTGCATAACATAAGATGGGTTTTTGTCACCTATGCATCTGTATAACCATCTGTCAAGTCAGCTTTAAGACCTTTACCAGACCCAATACTGCCTTTATGTCCCTTCCCAAGCACTACTAACCCTCAGAGGTGGCCTTAAAGCAGCTTGGGTAAGTTTTGTCTCTCTGCTTGATGGAAATGGCACTACATACTCTTTCCTATTCAGCATATTGCAGATCAGCAAATCTACCTGTTGATGGTCTGTACTGGGGCAAAGACACCAACATTAAGTTTTAGATCATGAGGCAGTTGGAGGTACAAAAACAAACCCTCTGTGCCCCCACTCCTAGCTGAGCTTCCTGTCCCCCAGAACCTCTAACTTCAGTACAAGACAGAGATAAGCCCAGGTTTATGCAGCTCTAGCAGGCCAAATTGGAAGACAGCCTCAGCTGAGGAACCCAAGACCCTTGGGAAATTTGCTGATCCTTGAAGAGGGACACTGAGCCTGGAAATCGGAGACCAGGAGTCCACTGGGCCTAATGTGCCCTTCTCATCCACCCCCTCCTCCGTAGACCTGGCCTTTTGCAGCCACCCTTTTTGCCATCATAGTCCTCTGAACCTCCCCTCAAGCCCCACACTTCTCTAGTTGAACAGAACTTCTCAGGATGCCCACTAATCTAGCCTTCATAGGAGGGCTTCCATTCCTTTTTGCCCTTTTATGCCTAGAGCTGAATCAGAGATACTGAAGTGGGGCAGGAGCAAAGTTGGATGCCCCTTTCCTGTCCCCATAATGGGACATTCAGGAGTTCTACCTCGACCAGATGATAGACAAACCAAACACTTTGCCCAACCATTTATTTCTAAGGAACACCTGGGGACTTGGGGCAAGAGAGGGAACCTGGGAGGCAGAGTGGGAGTAGGGGAGAATTAACCAAGAGGAGAAAAGTCCAGTCTGGGGTAGTGACTTGAGGAAGGCAGGGAGGGGTAGTATAAGAAATTGTAAGTTTCCCTGGCTGAACCCAGGTAGAAATCAGAAGGGTGGCAGGAAACTGGCAGTTTTCTCCAAGGTTCTTGGTAGTGCTTCTAATGAATGTTAGAGTACTTTATTTTTAGGGTCGTTGCAGAAGTCCAGGAAGCAGCATTGAGAGTATATCCAGAAGCCAGACACAGGAGAAGAATGAGTATATGAACAATCACTCATCTGCTCCTGGCTGCGGCAGTCATTCACCAAGATGTCAGAACCACTGCCTATGGAAGGACCACAAACTCCAGTGACAAGGAGGTTCCCATGCAGAGTCCCATCCTCACACCCTCTTCCCCCAAATAGACTTCCCTGGGTCAAAAGAAAAGACTCCTAGAATTGGGTAGGAGTGGGGAATGTCCAGTGAGTCACAAGCCACGCAACTCTGAAGTTTCCCAAGGAAGGTTGAAAGAAAAGAACCATTTAAAAATGTAACACTAGAGGAGCCAGACTAAGTTGAGATCTGTAGAGCAAAATGGGGAGAACAAGCACCCATTAGAGGGTAAAAGTGATAAAATAGGGTGATGATGTCTTTGATATAATGTATGTATTAAAGGGGAAAAAAAGCTTTGTGTCCCTGTCCCAAAAAGTCATGCACAAGGATATTCAACTGCTATCCTGCTTGAGAGAGAAAAATATTAGAAACAGCCTAGATGCCTATCAATAGTAGGATGAATAAATCAGCTTTGATATGCCCACTGCCATGAAGTACAGTGGAATACCTCAACAGAACAACAAAGCTGTTTATAACCTGATATGGAAACATTAAGTCCTCATAACTGTCAAATTTAAAAAGCAAATGCAGAACAGTGTTTATGTGTTTATCATGGTCTGCTACTGTCTGGGAGAAATAAAAGAGTGAATAAAAGAATATGGGGGCCAGACAGTGGTGCATGCCTGTAATCCCATTGGCTCGGGAGGCTGAGGCAGGAGGATTTCAAGTTCAAAGCCAGCCTCAGCAACTTATAGAGGCACTTAGCAACTCAGTGAGACCCTGTCTCTAAACAAAATATAAAAAAGGGCTTGGGATATGGTTCAGTGGTTGAGCACCCCTGGATTCAATCCTTAGTACCAAAAAAAAAAAAAAAAGCAGCATATTTAGGGTGAAATGTGCACAGAAGATTGCAGACAGGATAAAGTAATGAGAGGACTAGGGAATACAGCTTGGCCATATAGCAAATGTCTAGCATTCTTAAGGCCCTGGGTTCAATCTCCAGCATGGCTGAAAAAATTTTTTAAAAAAATTTTTAAAATGTAGTGGAAGGATGTAAATGAAGGCAATTTCATGCATTGGGTGTTAAGAACACCATCCGTGGAGCCACTACTTCTGACCCAGCCTCTGAGATTCAGGCAGATTTTTTTTCTTTCTACATCTTTATATCCCTATCTGTAAAGTGGGGATAATATACTGCCTCATAAGGTTCTAAAATAAACAGTACTTGGCACAGAGTGTGTGTGCTGTCTTTGTTAACTTAGTAAAGGTAGGAGAAAGTGGTGTGCATCTGTAATCCCAGCACTTAGGAGGCTTTGGGAGTTGGAAACCAGTCTGGGCAATATAGAGAGACCATGTCTCAAAAGATAAATAAATAGCCAGATGTGGTGGCAAACACCTGTATCCCAATGGCTTTGAGGCTGAGGCAGGAGGATCACAAGTTCAAAGCCAGCCTCAGCAATTTAGCAAGACCCTGTCTTAAAATAATAAACAAAAAGGGCTGGGGATGTGGTTCAGTGGTTAAGCACTCTTAGGTTCAAACCCTGGTACTAAATAATAATAAGGAAGGAAGGAAGGAAGGAAGGAAGGAAAGAAGGAGGGAGGGAGGGAGGGAGGGGAGGGGAGGAAAGGAAAAGAGAGAGGGAGAGGGAGGGAGAGAGGGAGGGAAGAAAAGCAGGCAGGGGACTAGGTGGAAGAACAGACTTGAGGAAAGAAGGAATGTGGTCAATTTTCGGCAAGTTGAAAATGAGGTAGAGATGTCCAGTAGATAACAGGACACAAGGAAAGTGGTTCAAAGTAACATTCAGATCCAGGAGGAAGTACTCTGTGGCTGCTGGTTGAAGCCAAGGAAGCAGATAATATCCTCTAGGAAGAGCTATGCAGTGGGAAGACAGCTAAGGACCAAACATGAATCACTGAGTCTCGGGGGGATAAGGCAAGACAGTGAAGGTCACTATGAGGACCAGTAGAAGTTTCAGAAGAGTGACATATATAGGAACTATGCCGATAGCTGGGGAGCAGGCAACTTGAGGAAAGGCCTATACCTCTGGAGATCTCCAGGGTCCCCTTCAAACCTGAGTGACAAAGAGGGTAGGAGCCAATCAGCTGTGGGTTGAGGAGGGAAGCTGGTGGAAGTGGAGATAGGGAGTGATTCTGAAGGAAAGAGATGGAACAGTGTCCTACGGCTATAGGAACAGGACTTGGGGTACTGTTTAGGAGGCTGGGAGAGGCTGCTTAAGAGGGCTGGGCCCATGGTGGGAAAAGGCAGCTTACTGTTCTTTATATGCAGAGTGAAGCAGCTGCTGCCAACTGGAGTGAGGCAGATGTCTGATCCCAGAAGGCATCCCAACTCCTTGGTTTCAAAGAGACATCTATAGCAACGCAGGTATTTGGGGAGATGAGGTGGTTGAGGGGGTCCCGGATTGTCATGAACGAGCTTACCTAGAACACAGAAAAGCAATGACCCCAAACCCCTCATACCTGATTCCGGGTTGGCCAATCCCACTGTCCTCTCCCCACCTCAG